CGTCATGTCCCTTGTCCCGTTTTGGTGCGTTTGCGCGAGCTCTTCCGTCTGCACTGTCGGAACAACATCTCCGCCGCCGACTTCCTTCGTCCGTTTGGATAAATAGCTATGGATGTGCCACCCGTGGTTTGACCATGTTCCCGAGGCGTCGAGGAGATGACTCTATTTGTAGCTCCCAACAGCCACCGGATGGAGTCTGCCCCTCCTTCGCCTGACCTTTGCTGAGATTCGGCTAGCGTAGCGCCCTCATGTATTAACTTGACAGCAAACAGCCTGGAAGACGGCGGCCAGCAAAAGTACCATCGTCACCATGTCCGCTCTCCCTGCAGCGACACTCCCTTGCGCAACCACGATCGACCATGTTACATCTTCCACGGCTTCTGTGCTCTTTCGTCACACTGACCCTGCCCTGTACTGGTTCGCCAGCAGCCGATAGTAGGCATGCGGGCAGGGTTGGGACGCGTGCACTCGTCGCATGCCCACGGAGCTTTCTCGGGGGGATGTAGGAAAGTCGTGATTTGCAAATGTACGTTGGGTGTTGAGTGAGCGCTCTCGTTTCATCTCTACGTTGGCTATTCTCCCTTGCAGCGCGCACCAATTTCTAAGGGCAGGGTCGGCCCCGCCCTAGCGAGGCGGGCCCGATAGGTTGACCGTTGTTGGCAAGTTATGATGGAGGGCGGAAAAGCCCGGGCTTGTCTTTTCCCAACCTAATCTTAAGCCTAAAGGCTGCCTAGGAAGAAGAAAAACAAAAACAAATCCGGGAAACCGGGCTTTGAGGTGGACTCGGAAGATCGAAATCAGACAGGGAACCAAGATCAAACCGGCGGACAAGATCTCCTGACAAATGGTCCTAAAAGTAAGCAGCAAAGGAAACAGAAGACGATATCACAAACCCGCGGGTGGGGCCAACCATCGGGAGCGAGGCCCCCCCCGCCAGTTTTCCGGCTCGAGGATTGATGCCACAACGTAACACGCAGGGCGGGCGCTGCTTGGGGGGGTGTTCGGCTGCCTGTGGCGATGTCCTCACGGCTTGGAAAAATCCTGCTGCCGGCGGCCGGCTGGGCGACAATCCAGGGTTGCCGAAACGAGCAAACCCAGGCGCCGCCTGCGCCTGTTCCCGCCTGCGCTCGTACGGCCGAGGTGGCACCCTAGGAGGAGTAGCACGTACTCGGCGTAGTGGCACAGTAGTGTGTAGTAGGCAGGTAAAGGTAGGCGTGTCTACATGCGGCAAGTTTGCTCGGAATGCATTGATGGAGGCAGATCTGGCCATCGTGTCAAAAGTAGCATCATGTTTGTTTATGTGGTCACCCTTGAATGTTTGCCCTGCATCTACTTGGCGCCAGGTAAATGCCTACTGCTTCGGCCATGACCACTAACACCACACAGTTTCCTGCTACGTGGGAAAAAGGCAAACAAACACGAAAAGCAACAACCCAATCGCAGCTCGAACGATTCGGCTCGTGACTTGAAAGCAAACAAAACAAAACCACAAAAAGATACAGGACGGCACGCAACCCCACACCATCCACGTGGACAGTCGGCCTCTGCCTACCGGGGGGGGGCGCTTTGGTTGTGGATTACTCCGTAAGGGGGTGAGTATCCCTTGCGGCGACCTGCAGGCGGACGAGAAGCTTTTGGGGAGGGTCAAGTTTATAAACCGTCCAGATGGGGCAGGCCGGTGAGCGAAGCCCTTTGGGCGCGGTGGGGTTGCACATGGCTCCTTCCTTTCGTTTCTGTGCGACGACAACTTGTCCTGGCTGGCTGATTGATGTCCAACAAGGAAGCTCCGCCTCGCCGCAGACCGTCCCTCCCCCCATCCATCTCCCCACTTGGATTGATGCGTTCCAATTTCAAACCCGGCAAAGTGCGGGCTGGCTGGCTGGCGATGTATGGTAGCTGCGGCGGTGACGCGAATTACACGTCAGAGCCGCGCTTAGCAGGACCGCAGCGGGCTGTTTCTGGGCTGCCAATGCTTTGGCGACCGTACTATACCAAGGGTCAGTCAGGCACGCACCCGCGCAAGGGACACGGGACAGCAACAACAACAACAACAACAAAAAAAAACGGAATCGCAACATGTGGCGTTCGTGCGTGACCTGCACGTGCCCAACACCGCCACCCGTTTCTCCTCTCCGCTGTATTGATGCCCATCCAGCCGAAGGCCCGGCGGCGGGTGGGCGCGTCAGAGAAGCAGCAGCACTCGCATGACACCCCCATCCGAATCCCCATGCCCCTCAAGAGAGACTACACACGCACACGCACAACCTCTCAGGCGCTGACACGACCTGGGGCTGGCCCCAAAACGCAGCCCGCCCACACCTCTCTGCACGATTACGGGCGCTGGGGCGGAGATGGGCAAGTAAACTGGAGCAAGGGCTTGCCGTTATGTATGTCAGATGTCGCGTACAAGTCACACAAGGAAGGCCGAGAAAAGGGGGGCGGGCGGAGGTAGCCTGGAAATGGGGCTCGGGAGGGAGGAACGAAGCCCGACAGACGCTGCGATTGCTGGGCCGGTGTGACGGTGTGTCCCAGATCGTCCCCCCAGATGGACCAGTAGAATGACGAGGCGGAGTTCACCGGCGAGGGGCAGAGGGGAACAATAACTGGGGGAGGGGAGCTTAGGGGTTGCACAAGACATGAGCGGATTGTTTGTGCCATGCGAATGAACATGCGGAAACACAAAGTGAAACAGAAAAGACGAAAAACGGATAAATGGAAGAAGGGTTAGCAAAGACAGAAAACAATCAAATAAAAATATACAGGTAGGGTGGGAGAGGAGATGGAGACGGTATAGAGGGAGCGGCGATTGCGTGGACAGAAAGCAAACGACACCATGTTTGCCGTCTGGGCGCCAGATTTCCCCCGAAAGGTGCACGTACGTCGGGGCCCGATGCGTGTCAGCAACCTATATGGATGGGCAAACATCAGTGGATGGGCAGAGGAGAGGAAGAAAAAAAAAAAGGGATGGATGAGACGGCAAGGCGCAGGGTGCGTCGAGATGCGGGTGCGTGCCAGAACGGGGCCCTCGTCGGACCGGTGAGAACATGCCAATTTGCCTGTATGTATGTGTATGTGCGTGTGTGGCCTCGGCTCCTGGGCAATGTGTAATGCATCGTATGGCTGCCCTCTTTTTCTTCTTCTTTTTTCTTCTTCTCTCCCTCGCTCTCTCTCCCATTGCCGCCGCTACGGCGCATTTACTGCCCGAACCCAAATAGACCCGTGGGAAGCATGGAGGGGGGCAAAGCAGGCGACAAGACATGACGATGGAGACCAGAGGCGGTGACGTGGATTGGCCGCGCCCTTTTCTCCCCTCTGACGACGGGCGGCAAAGGCATGGAGCAGACAGGCCGGGATGGATGGATGGATGGATGGATGTGACGGATAATGGAGGGGACGCAGCGGGTGAATGGAGTCGCCCGTCGGGGCCCATCTGACTGATGCTCAAGCGCGTAGCCGTTCAATGGCGGTGACAGGAGGGAGAGGGAGAGTGTGATTTTCCTCTTGGACCCTCGTCAATTCGTCTGGTTCTGGGCTGCAAGAGAGAAGAAAAAAAGAAAGAAAAAAAGACGCGGTGGTGGCAGGTGGAGTCTAGGGCTGCGGGGGCAAACACGAAACTCTCCTTCACCGGTTTCAGTGCGTCGAACAAGATCTTTTGACGGTCATTCGAGCAGGCGCGCGCGGGAGGATAAGGAGATGGAGGTGGCTGGGCTGGGAGGGAAGGCGTGATTCGTGGGATTCGGAACGATGGATGGCAAGCCCGCACCGTGCTGCTACTACCATCAATCTTTGTTGCTTGGCCCGCCGCAGGCCGGCCACTCAAGGCCGCGGCTGCCCGCTTTTGTACATACTCGTCGTCGACGCCGTACACATTCTCCAGAGTGCCCGACGGCCTGACTGGCTGGTTTGCCTGGCACAAAAACCCACGTGCACAACGGGGCCCTTCGGGGTGCCGCTTTTTATTTTATTTTTTATCGACGACTTGCGGCCCTTTTTCTCACCAAGCAGACCGCTCTGGATTCATCGCACTGGCCCGTTCCCCGCCCGCAAAAAGACCCCGTGACAGGTCTTTTAATCCTTGTGCTGTTTTTGCTTGTTTGCTTGGCTGAATGTAGAGACCCGTGCCTAAGGGTAGGTACGTAGCAAGTCCTTACCTCTGTGTGTCGGCCCAGCCGTTGTCGCCGTTGTCGCCGTTGTTGGGATGCTTGTCGCTGTTGAAAGTGCTTCCCTGATTTTCCTAACAAAGGTGGTGGTTTTCGGTACCAGCCGAGAGGGAACGGTTTGGCGGAAACGCCTTGGAGCCCACAGCGTTGGGCGAGGTGCGGATCCCCCCAGCCGTGGAAATCTCCGGGGTGGATCCCTGGACTGTGGTGGTTGCGCGCCTCGTAAACTCTTTGTCTGGCCCGCTGCGACGTCGGCGAAGCTATCTCGTGGAATGTCCGCCCGCCCGTTTTTCTGCTTCTACTTTGAGTAAGCCAGCCGCTGCTATAACCGACTTTTTACGTCACAAAAGAGGCAGGAAAAAAACCATGCGTTTTCACGGGTGTTGTGATTCAAGGTGGCGTCTAGCACACCAGGGACAAACTAAAGTTGACTGTAAAACAAGAAAACCCATATCCAGAAAGCATGACCCATGTCGACGAGGGTTGTTTTTCCACCTCTTTCGATCCCGATACCCCTAAAACACCAAAGCTTGAGACCGCTAATAAAAAAAACCGCAGGAAAAAGAAGAAAACAGTGAGAAAAAATACGTGCAAGTTCTGGTTCCGCAGCACGTGAGTCCGATCCGTCTATACTGTGATTTGCTGCTCCTTATTTCCTTCAACTCCGAATCCCAGGCGTATATAATAGTTTTGGGGGACGCTTGGTCTCCCCACCGTGGTGTGGTGGCTTTAAAACACGCGGCGCTTCGATGTCGTCGAGGTCTGCTGCGAGGATGGGTAGTTGATCATGTGGTCCCAAGGCACGGGTTCCCTGCTGCCCTTTTGGCAGTCGCCTGTTTTGCACCACCATGTTAGCGAGTGGATAATAGCAGATACGAGGAAGGAAGGAAGCCACATACTGCAGATCTCGTGTGGCCTGTATTCCCTGTTCTCGACATGGGGCTGGCACCGCAGCTGTGTCCTGATAAACTTGGAGCACCACATTGCTGCGATGATGCGGTGGTGTCCGCAGTAGTATTCGCGCTGTATCCAGAAACGACCGCAAGGTTAGCAAGCAGTCGGTCAGATGTTGTTTATTTCTCTTCAAAGGGGAAAGCCAGGCTTACATCTGTCCATTCGCACATGTTGACGGTTGTGTGGAAGAGTGGGCGGGTAGAGGTGGAAGGTGGTGGCGGGGGCGGCGGTGGTTTCGGGTGGCCCGTTGGCAAACGGGATGCCGCTGGAAGATGGTAGGGAGGGAGGTTGTCCCCTTCGAAAATTTGGGCTCGAGATTCCAAGCCTGGTGTCGGCGGGAAGCGGCGGCGGTGTCGTCAAAGGTAGCTGAATCCCTTGGTATGTGGTATTGATAGTTGAGTAGTGAGTGGCTGCCTAGGGCTATAGCAGTGGGCCAGGCAAAGTAAAATGCCCAAGACGGGTTCGACAAAGGCGTCGGGAAAGATATATTAGACACGAGCGTGTCGAGATGCAGATGGGCGTGTGTGTTGATGTGCCGATGTGGTGTGTCCGGCTTGTTGGATGTTCTGGGTGTTCTGGATATGATTGGGGTGCTCAGTGGATGGTGGTGGCCACGGGCGGCTTCTTAAAGGAATCTCCAGAAGCCGGGCAGGGCCCCAGTCGTCGAGGGAGCTGGACCCAAGCAGCTGGAGGCTTTCCAAACGAGTCCCGGTCGAGCCCTACCACCTAAACCTTGCCCATCATGCAGACGGAGGTGGGACCTTTCTTTTTTGCGATGGCGAGCTTTTTTTCCCACATGCCGGGACTGCTTGTCGAAAAGCGCACTTTGAGCGACAGCCAGGACAGAGGGCCGGGGGTGGGTGTGGGTGTGGGTGTGGGCTAGGTGTGGCTAGATATTCTTGGCCCCTTTTCTTTGGTTGGGCGTTTTTTTTTTTTGAATGTGCTTGCTGGGGGAGGGTGTGGGTGGATGGATGGTGTGTTCACTTCACCCCAGTGGGTGGTGCTCTGCTGCGTGCAAACATGGCCGGGGTGGTGCAGGAGCATGGGCTAGCAAGACATGGGCAGGGTCTGCAGCGACTGGATAGCGTCTGTCGGTCGAATTGATCTTCCTTTTGATGGGCATTGTGTTCCATTCTTTTTGGGGCTCTGTCCCACCCCCTCCGCCGTGCGGGGCGCGCAATTCAATGGTCGATGATGGAGTGGACGCGCAGGCAGGAATGACCGGGTCGGGGTTGGCGCAACGTCTTGCAGCCACTCCATGGATCAATCACGTCTTTGATACCGTCTTCCTCAGGGGGACAAAAACGATATCGCGGGTAAGCATAAGTGAGACAAGACAAGAGGGCAACGCGACTCGATCGATCAATGTCGTATGGAGGCCAGGGCAGGACTTGACGCAAAGTGCAGGCGGGGCGGCAGCCAGGCTGCTGTGCCATGCCAGGCTCTCTGCCCAGGCTCGGTCACTGCTCCAGGCCGTGTCGCCATGGCTGTCCTGCCCAAACGGGCAAAGTTAGGTGCCAGCGAGCGGACGGACGGCGCCTGGACGGAAACGGTGGGGGCTCCTAAACGGGCGCAGCGTCGTGGCTTCCGTTTTGCCGTTGATTTTCAGTGCAAGGTTTAGGAGGCAGCACAGTGCAGCCAGCTTAGCTCAATGCAGCACCTTCCCCCAGACAGTTCTCCATCATTGATCCATTGTCCACCCAACCCGCCAGAATGCTGCCGACACGCCTTTCCATCAATCCTGCCGTCTCGCCTGGCCTCCATGATGACAACCACTTGATCCCTCGGCCCTACCCGGTGTCGGCGCCAGCAAAGCCATAATGGGTCACGTCGGGCTCAAAGGCCGTTCGCAAATAAAACAATCGGGCTCCAACTTGTTTCGTCGCTGGCGACTCGGACGTGCCGGGGTCCAGGCAGTGGATCTTCTTGTCGTCGCCGCCTCGCCTTTCCTTCTTTTCTAGACCCAGCACGCAAAAAAAGAAAAGATGAACGACCCTCTCCAGGGGCACCAGGCCCCATCTACCCTCGCGGCCCAGCCGTCAGTTGGTCCCCGGGTGGATTCTCGGGCACCTCCATCACTGAAAAGAAAGAATGGGGATGAAGTCAGGAGCCAGTGCGTCTGTATGTCTGGTACTTGGCTACAGTACCTTGACTACCACAGACACACACACATCAGTCGGCCCAAGGCACCAAGGCAGGTGGCCGCGCCGCACAGAGCTCGAGTTGATTGCGTGTAATGTGACAGAGTCTAAACAGTCGAGCTAGCCTGGGGCTCACTTGCAATCTGTTCGGCCGCGCCCCTAGCTGCCGCCTTTGCCTTCCCCCTCAACAGCCCGCCGATCTAGCGATGAAGAAAGCAACAAAGGACACGCCATTCAGGGACCTGCGCCATTCCGCCGACGCTGCGAGACACCTGGCCCGCCCTACTGCAAATGAGCCATCATATCCATGTTCCACCGTCCTCGTTGCGAAATGCGCATGACCCACCCGGCCGGCGACAGGGCGCACTGCCGATCGAATCCCCATGGCCCCTTCCAGGCCGTCGACTTAGCTCGCCCTGGTCGTCGGATGGAGCTCGCCAAAGGCATTTCCAACTCGGCGGATACGCACGCCAGATGCGGCAGTTCGAGTCCACTCGTGGCTTCGGCTCCTCAGCGTAGAGCGGGCCCTCGACCACAGAGTTGGGCCCGGGAGTGACTGGCTGCGTGCCCAGTCCTGGTCCTGGCTGATCCCCCTGGTCGCTTGTGTGCGCAGAGATGTTTTCCTGACCGTCTCTCCTGGGCCTAGCGCCTCACCCTCTGGCCGTCTTTGTCACTATGGTCTTGTCACTGTGGCCAGGGTACGTGTGTGACCTGGCTGGGCCTGTCTTGTCCTTGTCCTGCCAGTCTTGCGTCTGCTTGTGCAAGGGCTTTACTTGCTGTGCGGGCTATCCATCCTCCTGCACAAACCTGGTGGTCGATCGTTTTAAACGATCCAAGCGGATTGAAAAGGCGCCCACCACTCCCCTCGCAGCGCATTTCCACTGGTCGACCGATGGGGGCAGGAAGCAAGTCACCAACAAGTCAAATGGGCGGCCGCCGGCCACTGGCTTTGCTTTTAGCTCTGTATGCTGCTGCCATGCAGGACCAAGGACCCTCTTCTGTTTCTGGACATGCCGCCGGGTAATTTATTTGCTGGAGCCTGCCGTGTCTGCCTGTCACCAGACCCCGCTGATCAGCCTTTCCTTCCTGAAAGCCAATTGCGCATAGCTTTGTGGTGCCGACTGTGGTGCCGACTGTGATGCTTGATAAGCGCTATCATTTCTCGTCTTTACTTTTGCTGCATCTCCTCCTGCCTTGGCTGAACGGGACCACTCAAGCCATTGGTCTGACCATCTTTATCTCCTCTGCTTTTCACTCTATTCGTCGGCTTGATGCGACGTCGGACAAGGCCTGGAGCTGCAACCCTGCTGCCTCCAAGGAATCTGGCTATCTGGCTCGCTGGTCACCTGGCGTTGGGCCGGATGCTCAACTCTGGCCCCCTTATTGGTGTGCTCGATACTGTGGCCCAGCCCTGGCGCCCCAGGCGCAAAACGCGACTCTCGTCACTTCTCATGTTTTATTCTTCTCATGTCTCGGTACCACACTTTCTCGGCTAACCATTCCCATGCTAGCCTTGATGCAATCCCTTGTTTTGCATGTTTTATTCCTTTTTGGCGCGATAACCCAAACACCCGCACGCCGCCGAGGCCAAGATCGACCGCATGCTGGAGTAGTCACCAGACAGCGACATCGCTGTGACTGTAGTGGTTTGAGGGGCAGCCAGTCACCCAGCCCTAGGCTATCCGCCTCGACACAAGTACGGCTGACGGAATACATGAAGCGGGCATGGTGTCGGCAAATAGGACGAAATCTCGCAGCTGCTAGACAGGCAAGCTTCTCAGGCCCAATGTCCAACGGACCTCAATAGGGGCACGTGGAGAGCGACACAAAAATCCCCGGTCGATGTTGGCTTTGAGGTTTGGGCTAGCGTGCATCTCACCAATACCAGCCAACCCCAACTCTTCTCCAGGCGCACCCATCTGCCTGGGGCTACAAGGTCCGATTCCACATGGGCGGAGAGCATCCAAGAGACACAACCGCAGCCAAAGCCTCCCTCTCCCATCTTTGGCCTTCCCCTGCTGCTTGACAGACAACGGAAGTTGATTCCAGAAAGAAGTCGCAGCTTCGAAGCTACTGCAGTGGCAGAACATTTCCCCGACCGTCCCCGGGCGACGCCATCGGTCATCGACGCCCCGTCCTAGGGTGTGCGCAAGCGTAAAAGTCCCGGAGGCGGTGACCCTTGCCTCCGGACCTGGCGAACAGCCTCTTTCCAGCGTGACGGGAGCTGCATGGGGGTGTGGTCGAAGCGGTGGCGCTGGGCCGAGCCTTACTGCTTGCGGCTCGGTTCCTCACCCTTGGCACTCACACAACCCTCAGCTCGCCCGCAGCTTCACCGACCGATGCTGTCCCAACAGACGGTGGCGCTGCCTCCCATCCCATCAGGATCGACATGAAGAGCCCCGGAGCGTGGGCAGACAACCGATCGGGGTAAGAGGCCGTCGAGAAGACGGCACCAGAACGCCTCTTTGCGCCATTGCGAGATGATGAGGACGAGCGGACGGCAGGCTCAGATTGTCGAACATCATGAGTCCTACGCTCAGCCCGTCAGGAGAGGTGACATGGACGCTGCCTCTTGGCTTTCGCTAGTTGGAGTCCAGAGCTAGCCCATTTCAGCAGCGAAGCGACACAATCATGGTCACAGTAATTGTGGCCAAAGAGGTGCACCCTCATGACCATGCTCGCTAAAGGCCACCCTGGCTTCCACGCTGGGGCAAGGAGATGCAAATCCTGTCCTTGAGCGGATCTCCCACGACGACCCAAACGGCTGGGAAATAGGCGACTCGAGTCCAGCGAGCAGGGGAGGCTCAGGGGCCTCACCCCCAGGCTCCGGAAGCGTCGCCCTGGCCTTCCGGACCGCACCCTGATTCCAAAGACCTGGATCCGAGTACCCACGCGCTGAGCGACGGCGGGCCTGGGCGTGGGAATCGCGTTCCTCCCAGCTGAACGGGACCGACACCAACGCCGGCGTCGCCACCGACGGGCTCGAGCCTCCCAGTCTCCCCGCTGGCCGCACTGGCAAATGCTCACATGACGAGTGAATATCGACTGTCCTGCATGCAGGCCACAAGCTTGGCCGGCCGTGATAAAAATAAAAATAAAAATGCAAGACTTGTTACACAGCGAGAGAGTTCGTGAACACAAATCGGCCGAGGCGGGCATGCGGGTCAGCGGATGGGCAGGCCGCCTGCGAAAAAGAAAGAAGAAAAAAACAAGAAGGAAAAAGAAAAGAAAAGATGCAGGCTAATCCAACCTCGTGTTGGTGTCCTGAGACTCATCCCCACCGATACGGCAGATGTGCATTTCATAAGTTACCTTGCACACGCGCACTCCCGTCCCGTATCCCGCTCGTTTCCGTCGTGTTCCCTCGTTTGCTTTTTGTTGTTTGCAACAAGATGGTATCGTTAGGGGGACGGTCCGCTGGCGCCCCAGCCCTTGTCATAGCTGGTAGCCAATGGAAGAGCACCCTCGTGGGGGGAGAGGTGTCATATTGCCACGGTCTGGGAGGGATCAAGCGCCCGGAGTGGTGTTCGTGCTAGCCTAGTCGTGCTAGTCTAGAGCAGCGCGCAGTTGGGGTCAACTTCACAAGTCCTCGACATGCGGAAAGTCTGGGTAAGGAGGATGGGATGGGGATCCTCGGGCCATGACTGGACGGCTCCTTCCTATCGCTTCCCGCGCTAGTAGGCAAGGTCGATTTGCTGACCCCGAATGCAGGCCGCGCACACCCTGTTTGACACTCATTGGGCGATCATAGGAGTGAGGGGGCGTCGATGACGGGATGCAGGCCAAGGGAGCGCCACTCGACTCTTTGCTTTTTCTTCACCTTTGTTTTGCCTCTTCCGGTCTCCTGGTTCCTTGGCAGTCGTGCCCATCCAAAACACGGCAAGGGCGGAAGCAACGCTAAAGCGACGAAAAGGAATAATGGGCTGGAAGGAAAGGAAAATGAACAAAAAGATGCCAGGGATGAAAGGCACCAAAAGGCCCCATTGGCAGAAAGGATTCCGCTGTTGGCTTCTCCACGCGATTGAAGCCGGTGAAATAGAGTTTTTGCCAGGGCGCGCCCCAATTTTACGCAGGAGCAGGGTTGTGAAGAGGCCGGTCACACGCGTATGTAGGCATAACAGTGGCTTTAAACGTTTAAATAAAAACAACTGTTCATAGTAACACAATAGCGGGCGAGGAATAGGACAAGGAGTGCAGATCTCGATGGCGAGCCTCCCACTTGGCGACGCGATGGTGCCGCGACCCCTGTCCTCGACTTTGTGACATGTCATAAAACGGCCCGACCAGTAAGGCCCCCCCAGGCGTCCTTCCCCCAGGTGGAGTCGGGGGTGCCGGTCAACCCCAACCATGGCCTTGGACCCTTTTTCTGCCGACGCTTCTCGCAAGAGCCGAGGGTGCCCGGGCGGTTTGCCGCTTGCGACCATGATGGAGCCGGCGCGGTATCATGTTTATCGAGATGAGAGGGACGGACGGGGGGTGTGTGGGTGAGTGTGAGTGAGTGTGAGTGTGAGTGTGAATTTGTGGCTGTGTTTAGTAAACATTTGCGTCCCTTTCTTCCTCTTGAACGACCCCGTCGTCGCATCGCGCGTGACAAAGGCAAGCCCCCACCCGCCTCCCCAGTCCTGGCGTGACTGCGCAATAAAGCTGGCGAGGTTAGCGACGAGGATTCTGTCTGCTAGGGTGGGAGGGAGGGCATGGCGGCCGCGCCTCCAACTCGGAGCTGGCTCCGGCCCACGACCACTATCGCTGGGCTGCCCTTGGACGGATGTGCCCAGGCAGGAATAGAGGATTTCCCTAGCCACTGCCTGCCCATGCCTAAACTTGCTTTTTTTCTTCTTTTTTTTTCTCTCTCTTTTATTCTTCAGCCATGCTTTTTTCTTTTTTTCCCCATCTCATTGAGGGAAGTGCGTGGCTGAAAACAATCCCATTCACCTACTTGACTCGCATTTGTGCATCTCGCCTCCGTTTCTAAAACAGACCTCCCCCCCCCCTGTGAGCTGGCAGGCAGGGGGGTTTGAAGAAGTCGAAAAAAACAAAGCAACCGCGAACATGTGTGTCATTTCTCAAGTTCGCCCTTCCTGGCACGGATGGTGAGAGATTGTCTGGCGACATGGCACTGACACAAGAAAGAAAAACAATTGCGTGTTTGCGTCCTTGTCATTCGCGAGCAGCGCCCCATTCTGACGAGTGGTTCGTGATGTGTCGTTTTTCACGAGGATGGCCAGAAGAAAGGAATGAAGAAAAACGCACGGGGGTTGAAATTGAGGGCAGCGTCCTTGTCTGATGATTGGCGGGAGGCCTTCCTCTGATCGGCACCGGGTTTCCCCCCTGCTTGCTGGCCAGCGAGCCCCTCCCACACCCACCTCTCCGTCCACAGGGTCAGGCCCAGGGTTGGAGTCACTTGTCCAGTCAGCAAAAATCACACTTTAAAATTAAATATCAAATTAACCGTTATAGTTATAAGTATAAAAATACCGTTATTAAATACAGAAATTTTAGTTTTATATAAATAATACCTAAGGTAGTTAACTACGTAGTTAAATATTACGTAATTTGCATTAGTTTAACTAATCGTAACTAAATGAAATGCATTTTTGACCGCTTACGTAATATTATTAAGTAATATAAAATTAGTATACTATTTTTTTGCCATTATTTTATGTGGATATAAAGAAACAAACGTTATACCTTTTTTTGTTAATTTTATATTTCATTGTAAAGTTTGACTAAAAAAAATGACTAAATGACTAAATTGTGACTAAATTCCCAACCCTGGTCAGGCCTCATTTTCATACTTGGCAAACCAGTCGGCCGGCCTCGGGATCGAGCAGGTCGCCGGACTGTGGAAAAGTGACCCGCCCTCGCACGCTCTCGCTCTTCTCTCCTTCCTCTCCTTCCTCTCCTCTCCTGACGCGACCCTGCTTTGTGTATTTGCCGTCCATGTCCAGGGACCAGGGGAGTACAGTATAAGTGGTGTGATGTTCGACCAACCCCCGGCTGCTCCATGCCGGGCCTGACCCAGAACCCTCGGTTGGCCTTGCCTGCGCAAAAAAAGAAGAAGAGAGAAGAAAAGAAAAACACGAGCGCCAATGTTCGCCCCGTTCACGCGCCCCGTTTGCGGGCCCGTCTGCACTCTCCCATCTCGTTCTTATCGACGACGAACCGCAGAATGGGCCCCACATTTCTCTTGGGACGTCGCTCTCTCCGTAGGCCCGGCCCTGGGCCGCCATTGAGTTCGCGTCCCTCCCGCCGATCCGTTTCAATGTTCTGCTGTCTGCTGCTCCCTCTTTCTCCATCGCTCGAACTCCTCGAGGGCCAACGAGGGAGGGGGGAACGCCCAATCGCAATCTTACGGAGGAGTCTCCGAAGGCGGGGGCCACCACCACCGTCCCCTCCCCCCCTTTTTTTTTTTTTTTTCTCACCCAAGCCTGTCTGCCGAAAGGGAACAAGATCGTCCAGGGCGTGATTGGCAGCCGAGTACAGGTCCCAAGGATCACAAACCCTAGTGCGGTGGATGCAAAATATATTTTCTTCCTTGAAAAACCAAGCCAGATTGATGCACCACCAGGATCCACCGTACAGGTATCAAGGATCAGAATTGTTAGTGCGGTGGGTCGACAAGGGGGTAACAGGGGTATCGGCCAAGGGGGTAAGGGTACACAGCGTGCCACACAATTTGTAGTAGAAATCAATGTATGTTGATATCTTATCTGTGGGTAACGATTCTAATGGGTTCTGGCAAATGGAGGTGCGGGTAGCGATACATCGATTTGGCGGGATTTTCTATGGTGAAAAATGTATCTGGGTACGTAGCCTAATTAGGAAGGATCCACCGCACTAACAATTCTGATCCTTGATACCTGTACTAAGGTTTGTGATCCCTGGGACCTGTAAGCGTGTGTGATGGCCTGAAACTAAGCCTGTCGGCCGCCTTTTCTCAGGCCCGCATTGTGCTTGTGGTACCAGTGAGTACTTGCGCGCATGAGGCGCAGGGCACGTGACGCGCCAATACCACACAAAGTCACATTTGTGTGATATGCATTTCCGTCATAACAAGCGCCGTCAAAGTCGAGTGAGTAGTGCTCCAGGCGCGGGCCGTCATAAGCAAACTGGGCAACGTACCATCCCAGCCCTCTTTGTCTCTCCAGTTCACGTTGGCACCCCACCGTATTAAATCTCCAACAGTTTCTGCGTCGCTGTCGTGCCGACTGTAACTAAGCAAACAGAGCGCTGTTTTCCCTCCCCGTGACGATGCATTTACATCGGCGCCGTGGCGGAGAAGGGCTGGAATGATCGAGGAGGTAGTGATGCCGTTGTGAATCGCCGCCCAGATGAGTGGCGCCATTGCTTTACAATCGGCTTTGTTCACATCTGCATTCTGCGCCAGCTGCCAGAAGAATATCGAGGGCATTCTCTTGGAGAGTTAGAATTGCTCAAATTAGCGGTGAGCGGCCCTTGCCGTCGACTTCATCCTTGCCATGGCCGAAATCCAAAAGCCGCTGGAGCGTGCCTGCCCACTCGTTCTGGACGCTGCGGATGGTTAAGAGTAAGCTGGCTTTGATGGCTCGGTAGCTCCCTTCAGCGAACTTCTGTTCGTGTTTGTCTAGTATCTAGTTGATTGTGGCTTCTTTTGGGGCATAGTGTGATCGGCCGGATACCCCCCATCTCCGACCGGCTGCTCAAGAGGAGCTTCTTCATCATTGAGCAGGTCCAGGAGTGATAAAACCCCAACACGTGAAGCGAGATGCAAACATGTCAACTTTGCCTGTGGCCGCAGGCCGCCATACTGCCATCGCTTTGCAGGCAACAGAATCCTTGTGGGTCACGTTTCCAGCTGCAAAGGTAGTGCATGGTCAGTTTCCGTGCAGATGGGTGTCGTATGAAGGTGAAAGCGAGTTGCAACAAGGCTGGATTTTCAGGGGCAGCCTTTTCCAAATGCTCTTCCCAATGAGAAGAGGCGTATCCCAGCAGCGGATGGTCGTCCAGAAGGAGAGAGAGACCCTTTAACGTAAGGCCGGGGTTGTTGAAGGTTTCGAGTAGGAGATGTTAGGCATGTTTCGGCCACGATCGAATGGGCCCTAACTTGCAGTTCCGCAAACGCCCCGAGGGATTCGGCTGCTCTCGCTTGTACTAGTGACCGAAGGTACTCCCCGAGGGAGCTGTGGACGAGCTCGTAAGAGTTGTCTCTAAGGATGAGGAGGTCTGCGCATTGTTCAACCATTGAGAAGTCTGCGCCCAGCCGGTCGCCATCGGTGACCTCCTCCATCCCCTCTTCGATAATGAGGGCTTCATGAAATTCCTCCCTGGATAGTCTCCGGACAGAGTTTGCTACCCAGAGAAGTGCCCGGAGATCTAAGGAGTCGGATGATTCGTCCTGGGAGATGATGCGCTCTAATGAAACCCGGTATGCACCAGAGAGGTCCTTTGGCATTTTTGTAAGCGCCTTTATCTTCGTGTTGTCCGTTACTTCCTTCCTGATGGAGTCGACGATGAGACCCGTGTACGGGTCCTTGGCATTTGGGTTTTGGGTTTTGGGTTTTGGGGGTTTTGGGGGTTTTGGGGTTTTTTGGGGCCCCAATGGACCCAAACCAAAAAACGCATTGCCCAAATGGGTCCCCGCCCTAAACGGGTCGTTTGCCGATGTTTTGGACGCAATGAAATTAGAAATATCGCCGCTGTTCGCACCATCGTCGATACTAATGGGTGGGAAACGGGCGAGGCTGCTCTCGATGGTTGCATAGCCTGGCCGATTGAGCACCATGATACGGCACTGACCTTGCTCCCAAGAGAAGCAATGAATTGGCAGAGCATCTCGAACTCGTTGTCGCCGAGCGAGCTGCACTCGTCAAGTCCATCCACGACAATGAAGACGCCATCAAGTGTGCCGGCAAGCTCCACTATGGCATCGCGGACTGCCATGCGTTCTGGCTGCTGATCCTTGCGCTGGAAACATGAGTCCAGTATAGAGGCCACGTTCTGGTCTAGCGGGGGATGCTGGTAGAGCTGTCAAAGTAGGGATAGGTTCGCAGCCGACCCGCTTGCATGGTGGCTCTTTGCTCCGTTAACACCCTTGATCTTCCGTTGGGCTGAGCAGTAGACATAGGCCAGAGCAGCTCTTGTTGAGCTTGGGCGAACTTTGGGCGTCTCGATGTGCTTGCAAGTTCTGGATCACAAGGGCAGTGAGGTGGGGCTTCCCGCTACCATGCTTTCCCATAATTGACAGAACGCCTCCGTCTTCTGCAACACGGGATTTTCGCGGAAGAAAAGAAGGATGATGGAGAAGCCATTGGCCCGTACCAGGAAGGGTAGCGTCTAGCATGTGGCAAAGACAAGAGCTGGAGGTGGGACGGGATGGATGCGACTTGCGAGACAGCGAGGAGTGAGTGAATTCGAGAGTGCGGGGGAAAACAGGTCAGGCTGGGCTGACAGGCAGCTGCGCCCGTTTTCCGATGTGCACCACCTGGTTATCTGACCATGGATACAGGAAGGCGGGGCTATATGGGGGCAAATCCGCGACCACCCGCCACATTAGACTACATTGGTTGGTGGTCTTGATAACTGGCGCCCGAGTATCATTTTTACAAACACTCTCCTTATAATCCCATGTCAGCCACCTCGACCGGCGGCTGCTCGTCACTGATGGCCGCCTCGAACCGCGTCGGCACGAGCCGGTAGACAAGACACCCAGCCTGGACCGTCCCGCCACGCCCGCGCTCGGCACCGCACATGCTCCAGTTCTCAAACAACAGCGTCGGACAGCTGACATCCTCCCCTCCCCCGCGCGCCAGGGGGCTGTACACGTCCTGCACCTGATCCCCATCGCCGCCCGGTAGGCGACAGCCGCGCATCCAGAACACGTCGACGCTGTAGGGCCGGCCATCCGGGTCGCGGCCGTCGAGGGCGACGGCGGCGGCACCACCACCGCCGGGCCGCACGTCGTAGTCGCGGGACCCGTCGCGCCAGCAGGCCACGGCGGCAAAGGCGCGCACGTACGAGGCGCGCGCGGGGCCGTCCTCGGTCGCGGCCGAGAGCCAGCGGCTGCAGGCGCGCGGGTACAGGCGCAGGTCCGTGACGTGCGGGGCCGGGTCGTCGGGGAGCAGGCAGACGCAGTTGCCGGCCGCGTCGCAGCCGTTGTGCGCGGGCGCGTGGCAGACGACGGCGGGCGCGCACAGGTGGGCTGTGGCGTTTGTGCAGACGAAGGAGGGCGGCGGCGGCGGCGGCGGCGGCGGGACGGTCGGGAGGGCTGCAGTGATCTCCTGTGTGGTGGTGCTGCTGCTCGGGCTAGGGGCCGTGGTTGGTCGGTCGGGGGATGCGACTGAAGACGCTGGCTCCGTGGGGAAGGAGATGCTGCCGGCCTCGGATACGGCGGCGTTCGGACGGCCCTCGCGGCACTGCGGCTTGGCCGACGTGAGTAGCGGATCGGGATCGGGACCGTCTGCCTGGCGGGGACGGGGGTGGAACCGGCGGCGCTTCTGGTCGAGTCCCGGGACGGACGGGTCCCAGCGGCAGTAGCCCCGGCCGTGGACGTCGCGGTGGGTGACCCCGTTCCAGAGGCCGAGCAGGGGGCGTCCGAGGATGGGGTCCAGGGGCACCCGCGGCCAGGCCATCCTTGTGATGTAGTCCTTGAGCAGCATGGGCGGCCATATCGAGTCTAGCCCTTTGCCTTTTGCGTCGACAGGAAGCCAGTTGAGCTGTTTCAGCCTGATGAAGTAGGCCGCGATGCCGGATGTATAGGCGCATGCTTGGATGGGGGGTAATGTTTAATGTTAGTCGAGGCGCGTAGTTGCGGCCGTCAGGAGCAGACTAAACCCACCAAACGATGTTCCTCGGGCCTCGGCCTCGTACATGTAGCCCTCCTCCCAGCTCCTCCGCGACCCAACTGCCATGAGCAGTTCTGCGCCAGGGGCCCATATGTGAGGAACGCTGCCCTTGGGGAGTACAGCCGACCTCTCCGAAATCCCACCGGTAGACGGATAGAGGGCGCCGACCACCAGTAGCTCGGGGATGTATATCCACGGGCGGTCCGGGTGCTTGAGCGAGTTACTGACCTCGCTCTCCTTTGCCGCAAAAAGCGCGGGCCACGCGTTGAGCTGCGCGGTCATGTGTTAGCAGCATTATGTCTGGCTAGCTGAGCAATAAATGCAAACAAAACATACCTCCAACTGGTTCCCCGCGCCGACGACAACCAGCAGTCCCTTGCTGGTGAGCTCCCGGATGACCACGCCCAGCCGCCTGCGCCAGCACCACCAGGCCGCGTCGCCGGCAAAGTTGGTGGCGAACTGGAAGAGCGCCTCGTAGTAGACCCACGACAGGTTGACGACGCCCCTGGTCTCGCCCGGCCGGTGCGTGGCGTTGGCGTAGACGTCGGCGACCTGGACCAGGGCGTCGAGGAAGTCGAGCGGGCTGTTGCCGCCGCCCTCCTCGCGCCCGCGGCGCACGCGCGCCATGACGGGCGTGACGCGCTTGGCGCCGCCCAGGCTGGCCCCCGCCACGGCGGCCAGCATCGACGTCCCGTGCGCGTTGCACTTCATGTCCGGGATGGGCGGGCACGACTGGTTCCGCGGCAGGCCGCTGTCGTCGCGGCCGTAGTTCCCGTCGTAGTCTGGCCGCGCGTGGAGCCACTGCACCTTGTGTCGGATGTCGGCGAACTCCTGTTGGTCCATAACCCATGTCCCTGTCAGTACTTGCTTGCGTTTCGACTCGAGGCTAGGGCGGGCTGCACTGCACCGGATGATCGAGGTTGGCGCCCGTGTCGACAATGTAAACGGGTACGTCAATCCCGCTGCTGTTATCAAACACAAAAACGCCATAGGCGAAGCTACTCGAGCCTGAAATGTCTTCCTCGGACAAGAAGTCCATCTGTCGTCGACTGTACGCCTCCCCTTCCACCACATGTGGCCGGCCTGTATACTTGCCCTGGAACCGGTACCTGAAATGCCTGTCCTGTGTTGACGGGTCCGGGCAGCTGTCCTTGCACGTAGTGAACACCACGGCGACCTGTTGCAGCATGTAGAGTTGCTTGTCAGCTAGCTAGGCGGGTGCCGCTTTCGAGCTCAGGATTAAAACCTACATTGGGTATGGACCTGGCGCTTTGGGCTTGTCTCTGTGTCATGTTGACACGCCAATAGTTGACGCCCATGTTCTTGGATCCCGACGTCTCGATGGCCGCTGATCGGTTCCCGACGTGGTCAAGGAGGGCTTCGTAAATGGACTTGGTCTGCGTCCTGATTTCCCCGTCCTCTGGCCATACGACCCATTCCAGAACGCTGGGGCACATCGGAATGTTCCCTCCGTCCGCAGGGCCAGAGGCCTGGCGGCGCCCGAGCTGGCCAGCCTCTGCGGTGGCGGTACTGCACTGGATCGAGGTGGTCGTTGCTGTGACAGAGCAGCCGCTCTTTGGAGACGCCCTCTGGGTGAAGCAGTCGGACGACGCCGTGCCGCTGCAGGTGAAGGTGACATCTGTTACCGTGCTAGCCAGGCACCCGTCCTCGGTTCGCGTCGCCGTGGCCTCGAGGGTTGCATCTGTCACCAGACATCCCAAAAGCTCTGCACATTTCGGGTCTGGGGTATATGTCGAGATGGTCCTGACCTGGCCGTCGGTGGTCGAAACGACAAACGAGATGGTGGCAGAGCATAGGGAGGCTGTCTGGGTTCGGCACTTGGTGGGATCCGGCTCCGAGGGAAAGGTCGGGACGTGGTTAGGCCCCACACTGCCTTGAACAGAGGGAAGTCAGCCACGCTTCGTTCTGGCAGTCTGCTAGCGCCGAAATAAAGGGGTTTATCTCACGTGAACTGGGGCCAGGGAGGTAGCGTCCCCTGAAAGCGCAGCTCTGGGGGGAACTTGAACACGGGGAACGGCGGGGGCCCGGGAGGGTAGATTCCAGGCGGCAGCACGAACAGCCAGCCTAGGATCTGGACCCGGCCGACTACGACGCAGACGAAAAAGAACCAGAGCTTGCAGGGGACCACGGCTGCGTCTTCGACCTCGCCCGACGGCTCTGACTCGTCAACTCTCCAGCCCAGTGGCACAATGATGGCCTCTGGGGGCCAGATGGAAAAGGTTGGGAGCAAGAATGCCGCCTCTGTCGTGCTTGTAGCGCCGTTAATGGTAGCTGAGGTTGATGGTAGCGCGCCGTTGCTGGTGCCGCCTTGTGTGCTGGACGCGGTCAGTGATGACGTGAGGTCTGCTGTCGACTGTCCGTTGCTTCCAGGCCTGGAGCCACTGCTTTCAGCGGGCTGTGTGATGGGAATAAAGAAAGTGCTGGTATTCTGCTCGCTGGTTGCGTGTGGTTCTGTGCTACCTGTCTGCTGGCTATTAGAGGAAGTTTGACTGCCTTTGCCTTGCGTCGTCGTTGTTTGTGATGGAGAGTTAGAGCTGGTTGAAGAGCTCGATGAAGCTTCAAAGGAAGATCGTTTATCACTCGATGTTAGTCCTGATACGTCACTAGAAACATCTGTGAAAACCGCAGATGCTGCAGCACCGTCCGACGTGGTCAAGCTGGCCACTGCCGATGTCATGTTTCGCACGCTGGCGAAAGTCGAGTCGACCGAGGACAGTGTTGGCGGAGCTTCGGGTGATAGGGATGTCGTTTGCTCCTGTGCGCTGTCCGTCGTGGTCGTGGTGCGTCGTGACACCGCAGGCGGCGGGGGCGTTTGGCTCCCCGGGGTGGCACTGATCGGGCCTTGTACGGACAACGACGAGGTCGAGTTTGGGAAGACCCACGACTTTGAAGTATGCGGAGACCCCAGAGTCTGCCCTGTCGCTGGAGTATTCGGGTTGGTGTTCTGTCCATCGGTAGCTTTAGGGAAGGCATCAATCGTGATTGTGGTCCAAATCGTGAACTCGCCGGCTACCGTGCTAGTACTTGCTTTGGGATTCCAATCACTCGTAGTGATAAGCGAAGACTCCATGCCCAGTGTCGTGCCTGTGCTGTGATCCCAGGTGTTGCTCCCCTCAAGGTCGGCCCATATCGTTATTGTCGTGATGATTACGCCCAAGTCCTCGGTGACGTCCGTGGTGCTCAGCGTTGATGGGTGTGTTGCTGTACTGTCCGAGGTCGTGACCGTGATGGAGATGTCTATGGTCGTTGTAGCAGTCCCAATAACCCAGGTTCCAGGTGTCGATGCCTGCCTACTAAACTCGATAACGATAGTATTTGCGTCGATGACATGGTCACGACCTGCTTCCCTAGCGGTGGCCGCATCATTGCCGGCCTGGGTGGGCAGACGCGTCGAGAGGGGGAGAGAGTCCCGTGGATGGGGCTGAAAGACTTGAGGCGCGACTGCGAGGACGAAAAGAGGGCCGAGGAACAGAAAATACAGGCAGAAACGACTGCCTTGTTGTGATGAGAAGAAGGCTTGCATAGTAGTTGTTGGCAGAATGCGCGACACGGACGCCAGTCATGGATTAGTAACGGCGAGCGAACGGTGAGCCAGAGGAATACTGGGCACCCCGATCCCGAAAAAGTTGACATGTTTTATACCCGCAGTCAGTTTGTCTGGCTCCTTCCGTTTCGGAACAACCAGATTTCCATCAGTATGCCCTGAGATGGCCATCAGATCTGTCCGACGGAGACGCAACCCCAGAGCAAGCATGTGGCTCCCAGCTGCCCAACAGTTTCCCTGCAGCAAGTCGGCACTACACGGCGATGCTGGCAAGACTGGTTTGCAACCTGGGGTTTGTCACCTGGTCAAGGCCTCGTCTCGATGCTACACCTACGTATCTAGCTACCCAGCTCCCAACCAGACGGCTTGGAGCCAGATACCAACAGCCTTCTCATATTGCCGTTGCCGAAACTCTTATGTCAGATGACGGCCTTCTGGCGGTACACCCGGTGCCGGTGCACAGTGCTGCAAGTTCCTAGACGGTAGACGTGGGGAGCACCCCGGAACTTGCTTGTGTTGGGCCGTGGTCTACTGTTGTGCGGTGCAACAGAAGAAACGTCAGCTGAGGAATAGGACCGGAGCTCTCGGTGACAGTCAGTCGGCCTACTACCCCGGACCGGTATATACTAGCAAAAGGTTCCAACCCTTCCCAGCATTGTACGACCCATCTCTCTGGAGCTCAGGCTCTCGGGTGAGCCACGTGATCAAAAGACGCGCAACTTGTATTGGCGGTGAAGACACCAAGGTACTTGGGAATACATGCGAAAGAAAAACACACGGAAGAAATTCCGACTGGACAAGCCTAGTGCCCAGCACCTTCCAAACGAAGCGTGAACAATGCATCTGTCTTCCATATACATGCACGATGCGCTCCATTCAGGCTGCGCGTGTGCCCACCAAATGGCGCCTAGCAGGTGGGGCCCAGGCCACCCACAGTCCCACATAAGCGGGGGTAGCGGCGGCTACTGGCGCCTGGATTTCCGCCGCCGGCTTCGTCATTCCTCATCCCGCCTCGACGAGATCCCAGCGAAAGGCGGCGAGGTCGCAGCCACAGAAGCCCCCCGCATCGATCGAACCCCTCAAACGAGCGGGCGAAACGGACGGACGAAAGAGTATCTCCCTGGCAACAAGTAAAAAGCCGGCCGCCCGCCATGAACCGCCTCTTCGGCAGCGCCGACAAGGCGCCCAAGCCCACCATCGACCAGACCGTCACCAACCTGCAGAAGCGCGTGTCCGAGTACGACGTGCATATCAAGGAGAAGAACAACGAGCTCTCGGCGCTCGCCAAGGAGATGCGCGCCTCCTTCTCGGCCGCGCGCAAGGAGACCATCAAGAAGAAGATGCGGCGCATCCTCGTCGACCGCGGCGGCATCGAGAAGCGGCAGGGCGAGCTGCAGGGGCAGCTCGACAACCTCTGGCGCACGCAGGACATGCAGACGACGCTGCAGAACTCCATGGTGGTCGTGGACGCGCTCAAGACGACGACCAAGGAGCTCAAGCGCCAGTACGGCAAGGTGGACCTGGACAAGATCGAGCGCATGCAGGACGAGATGGCGGACCTGATGGACGTGGGCGCCGAGATCAACGACGCCATCTCGCGCGGCATCGGCATGCCCGAGGACCTGGACGAGGCCGAGCTCGACGCCGAGCTCGACGCGCTCGGCGACGAGGCCGAGTACGAGTTTGAGATGCAGCGCGCCTCGGCCACCCCAGGCTTCCTCGAGGACGAGGTGCCCGACTTTGTCGACGAGCCCGTCGCCACCGACAAGACAAAGATGCAGGAGGCGGCGAGGTAGTGGCCGTGGCAGGAGGAGGAAGACTGAGGACTACACGTGCCGAGAAAGAGAGAAACGACACAAACGGAGCGAGACCGGGGCAGACCGGGGCGGCGACTTTTTTTTTTTTCCTTTTTCTTTTTTCTTTTTTTTCTTTCTGTTTTTGGAGAACACATCCCCTAGCGCGACGGACAGAGGAGGGTTTTGCTTTACCATCAGGACACGGAGGCGGCGTTTAGGATTCATACCTCATATTGCTACTATGATTATGCAGGAGCGATTTTTATTGTCACGCACCCAACCGACTACGGCCTTCACCACGACGAGGAGGGCAGCTGGACGAATAGTTACTCCCACCTTGAACATTTACATCTCTTCGCCGCCCAACCAACCGCGCACCCACGCTCTTCAAAACCCGTATGCCATCCGATCTATGCAAGGCACTACTCTTACGCCATAACAGCTCTCCACGTGAAACAGAACTGCTGCTCCGGTGATGCTTAAGCCATCATCACGTCGTGAAGAAAATTCCGGTTCCCCAACCCCCAAAGAGGCCTCTCGTCATGCCAAAATGAATGAAAAGGAGGAGAGAGACATCCATAAACGGGTAGGGTCACAAACAGCCACCAAAATGCTCACATAATGCAGACAAGGTAGAGGTACAATCAATTAAAAAAAAAAGACGACAGCTGGACGCCGAAACTTCTTAGGCGGCTAACTATCTAGCCCCCAAAGATAATGCCCCGCCTACTCCACCGTTCCAAAGAATCGCGAGACCTCCTCGAGCTCCGGGTCGCCATTGCAAAAGTCCCAGCCGACAATGACGCTCGTTTGGCTGCAGCAGACTATCCGGCGCACGTCGAACTGCAGCTTGAACACCCGCACCGGCGTCCTCTCGTCGGCGTCTCGCATGTGTGGGTGGTGGTGGCCGTGGCCCGCCGGCCGGGGCTGCGCCGGCTGCGCGGGTGCCTGAGTCGGCGCCGGCGGGGGCCCGCCGCTTACATGTGCATGTGCGTTTGAGCCGGCGCTGATACCAGAGCCCGACGTGGTGTTCGTCGGCCCATCCATTTGCGGGAGTCCGGTGTCCTGAAGCTGGAGGGACGGGCCTGTGCGGGCACCCGAGCCGGAACTAGGCCGGGAGACACTAAGCGCCGAGGGCGCCGAGTTGTGCGTCGTCGGCTGTGGTCGCGTCGAGCCGGTTGCCGAGGCTGCTGATGACGGTCCGGCCGCGCCCTGCTCCTGGCCGCTGGCCGCGGTAGCAAACTGAGCCGCATGGCGTACGTCCCTGGTGCTCTGCATGTTGCTCTCGCGCCTGTTCCGAGCCTGGGCCAGCTGGGTCCGCACGACGGCCGCGCTCACGGCCTGTCTTAGCTGGGAGCGCAGGAACGGACTTGGCTCACGGTCTATGGCCGCCTGTAGCTGCTGCTGGAGGACTAGAAGGGTGGGGAAGTTGGCTAGCGCCTGCTGAAGAGCGTAAACGCCCTGCGGTACTGTCATGTCGATCATGGCAGTGAACGAGTTGATAGAAGTAGGCGTCAGCACAGCCGTGATTGGTGAAGTGATGACTTGGACGTCGCGGCTCTCGGGGGATGGCCGTCTTGCTGTCGACTCGTCCGAAGGGCCGGCCGCTGCCGCCGTGAGGGCTTCGGTTTGCTCTGTCCTGTCCGCCCTCCTTGGCCGCCTCGAAGTTGATGACGGCGGCATACCGTTGTGGGACGGAGCGCTGGACGAGGACGCATGACCAGCCGTATCTGGGTGGCGCTGGGCCCTGAGCATCGATAGTGTGTCCTCGGCCGACTGGGCAGGAGCGTTTGTGGATTCTCGGGGGGCAGTGGCCGAGAGAGAGTGGTGCATGGACACAGCCGAGGTCGGTGGTACTACGGCGCGGGCCGCCGCTGCCTCGGCTGCATCCTCCTGCTTGAGGTGGTGTGCCTTCTGCCATACGCCCTTCTTGTCGCGCCTCCAGATTATTATGCTCTCGTCGTACGACCCGGACACGATTCTTGCGTACTGGCCACCTCCACCTCCGGGCGGTAGCTTTGCGCCAAACGCCGTGATGTCCTCGGGCCGCCGGCTTCCCGCATTGTTGGGCCTGCCCCTGGAGTGTAAACCAGCATGCGCCTTGGCGACGACGGCGTCAAAGTAGCCCTTGTCTATCTCCTTGGCCTGTTGGAGATCCTCGTAGTCGCTGTAGGGCAGGTCCGCGAATCCGGCCTGGACGGTTCGCACCAGGTCCGTGTGCCCGCGCAGGCTGGCAATCTCGAGGCCCGTCTGACGGTCAAACACCTTGACCAGGTTGTCGTTGCTGCCCGAGACGATACGCTTCCCATCGTACTGGACGCATGCTATGCCCTTGGAGTGGCCAATATAGGTGCGGATGCACTGTTGAGCGGGCCATTTCCAAATTTTGAGGTTCCTGTCTCCCGAAGCCGACACCACCTCGTCGCCGCAGATCTGCACCGCGTTGACCGCGGCGCTGTGGCCCACGAGCGCGCCGATCATCGAGTACGGCGGCTTGATGGCCAAATTATCCAGCCCGTCGTATAGGCCGCCGTAGTCCTTGATCGTCTTTCCAACCTCGTACACCTTGCCCGGCTCGCCGTACCCAAGGTCCCCAGGGCTCATGGGCCGGCGGTTGAAGACCTTGATAGACTTGTCCTTGGAGCACGTGACCAGGATCCGTTTGTCGAACTTGACGTTGAGAACCGATTCGTGGTGCGCACGTGAGAGGCGCTGGATCACCTGCCCGGTCGAGAACTTCCAGATGATGACGTCCGAGTCGCTGCTGCCCGACACGATCACATCCTCCTCCGGATCCGAGTCGAACTGCAGACACAGCACCGAGCCGTTGTGGGCGGCCAGGGGCGGACGCACTAGGCGGCGCGTTTGCATGTCCCATATCCGGATCGTATGGTCCCTGCTGCCGCTGACGAGATATCGCGAGTTGAACTGCAAGCTGTAGATGCACTCATTGTGGCCCTCCTCCATGTGGTCCGGGTGGGGGAACTGAAAGTTCACAAACCTTCCCCTCTCCCAGTTCTGCTCCAGGCGGTGCCTCGTCGAGTACATGTACTTCCAGTTTAGCCTGTACCGGCTCGAGTTTGACTGCCAGGTCCAGAGCGTTGACTTGGGCAGCGTGTTTAAACCTTCGGCTGGGAACATCTCGGGCAGCGTCTCGGGCCGAATCTCACTCGTATCCTTGCTGAGCATCGGGGTTGGGATCGCGACCTGTTGCTCGACAGCCTTTCCTTTGCCCTTGTCGACTGCTCTGGCGCCCAGGCCACTGCGGGCGTCGAAGTTTGAGCTTGGGCCATCCATATTCATGGCATCGAGACTTGGGGTCATGCACGTCCTGGGGGCACCAGAGAGGCCCACAGGCCCGCCGAAGAGACTAGCTTCGCCCATTTCGACGTCGGCCGGGGATTGTATCGGGTTCTCCGTCAAAATATAATCATGCTCTGTGCCGCTCGACGTCTCCGGCAGAGGACTCGCCTTGCTCCGTTTCTTATGCGTGTGGCCGTCATCGTCCTCTGACGAGCGGAGGCGCCGTAGCTGTCCGCTAAGTGAAGGTCCGCTGATTCCAGTGCTGTTGACCTTATCCTCCCAGATCTGTACTTCGTTTGTGGCGGCCTTCCAGCCCTCTCGGTAGTAGACGCGCTCCCAGAGCTTTCGGTCCGAGGCGAGGTTGTGCCAGGCGCGACAGGCCTTGACGACGTTGATCAGCGACAGCGGGTCTAGATAGCCGAGGATCTTTAGACATATCTCGGCGGGCAGGTACATGATGAAGTTGATGTAAAGCCTGGAGCTCAAGCCCTCGACGATCTCGGCGATGACGCTCGTGGGCAGCTCTTCGAGTAGTGCCATGGCGAGTTCTGGTGGCGGAGGGCGGCGGGACGGGAAGCAAGATGCGGCACACGTGTCAGCAGAGGCACTTTGTGGGTGATTGTACTCGAGCGCGGGGATGACTGACGGGTTTTATTTGAGAGGGAGAGTTCCGACATGTGACGCAGCAACAAGGCGGAGACCTCGCGCGAGGGCGTCCGGGCCGGCTTGGTGACAGAGGTGTTCAAGGGCGCCTCCGAGTAGCCCTCGTCGGCCGAATTCATGCTGAAGGGGACCGTGGGCTCGCTCGCCGCTGGGATGCTGGCCGGGTGTCTGTCCCTTGTGGTTTGCGACGGCAACGAGGGCCGGGCCGGGGTGTGGGAAGAATCGCAGCTGCTGGCGGGGCGCTATGGGGTCGATACTTGCTGGGCTGCCCGGCAAGACGGCAGGTGTCGGGCGAGCGATCCGGGCGTCGTCGGCACTCTGGCACGCCCTCCTCCTCCTTCCTCCTCGGGTACCTGAAGAGAGGGCGCTGCTCGAGACGGAAAGTCGGCGGCGGCGGCGGTGTCGGCGATTGCGGGTTTGCGAACGTTGATGGGTGTGCAGCGGTCGGCAAGTGTCCCTAGTCAGGCTTCGGCTTGGGTGGTGCTCGGCTGTTGGGTCGACGGACGAGGGTGGGTTCGATGCAATTGGGTTGGGGTGCAACGGTTGTTTGTTGATAGCGGGGAGCGCTGAGGCCGTGGCGCGACTTGGGCCTTACAAATTGCGATGGACGATGGAAAAGTCTAGAGCGCAGTCTGTCCTGGCCGCCCGTGCGTGCTGCTGCAAGGGGGGCGGGAGGCTTCAACGGGGCTGGGCGGCTGCTGGGGCGAGGCACAGGGGTAGCAGCTTCCCACAGTTGGGCCAATCGCCACCAGATGGAGGGCTGCTTTCTATCCACGATGTTCCGTTTCCTTATTCATGACAGAACCTAAGCAAAATAATTTAGCACTACCGTCACCGCCCTTACGGACGAATATGTACGCTCTGCGGACCGTCCTGGCCGGTCGATATCCAGGAAAGTGACAGGAAAGTTACGTCTGGGTAGGACAGAACAGGTTCCTCACTGCCTGTGTCGAGATCAAGGCCGGCTTTTGCTCAGCCTGTTCCTCGCTCGCGATCCACTCTTGCTTGGCCGTCGATCATCAGTCCAGCTTTTATGGCTGTCATCATTTCCTCACCCTCAACCTTCTGCACAGAAAACCAGAAAAACTCCTAGGGACAAACTTGAGATCGGGCCAGCGACTCGTTCGAGTCATCCACGCAGGGTGACATGGTGCTGCCCGCGGACGCAAACGCGGCTGTAAGACGCAGATTACAATCAATCGCTGACTGTGGCAATTGCGCGTATACCCGACCAGGGCGGTGTCCATTCGTCACACCCTCTCCGAGGCGGCCATGAGGCTATTGGGGGCAGCAATTGCTGCCCTACCCTGCTCCTGCTGCCTTGACCTGGCCAGAAGAGCCAGCGGGCCCCGCGACCCGGTCGGCACATTGTCAGCTCCTGCAACAACGACCGCAGTAAATCATTTACCCTCGTGTCGTTCCTTGCTTTGCGCACCAGAGCTTCCAGGTTTTGTCGAGCTTTATGATATCACGGATTCGCCTCCAACACTTATCACTACCACGCTACGGATTGCTTCGCTCTTTCCTCTTTCTCTCTCGCAGCCTCCCATATCGCTCGCCTGTGACGCCCAGCAACCACAGCACCAGCATCACAGTATCATCGCCAGGGCGAAACCACGTTTTAAACTACGACCGAACCACACGGAGTAATCTTTCCTCCGTTGGGCATATCAAGACCGGGGCTGGCGCATGAATGCTTCGGTTTCAACCGCCCTCTTGACCATGCCCAACAACCAAAGTCGGGTTGCAGCATCGGAGAAAGTTCTCCAAGTCGGCGTCGGCACGCCACACACCCTAACAGTCTGGACGCCTTTGCCAACGTGTGGTGCTACGTGAATGACATGATATCGACAGGAGGGTGCGCGCCCAATCTGTGACTGTCCGGGTTTGCTTGCACCATCTTTGCCCGTAACGGCATTCTACGCTCGCCTTGTTTCGTCGGGTCACCTCTGCTGCAGGTGGCCGCCGTTTATCCTGTGAGTGTTGAGGCGCGGCCGGAACCGCGCGCGCTGTTCGCTGGCAACTCCTGGTTCCACAAAGAATTTGCAGAGAGTCGTAACTGGCATCTGTCACTCCTGGTGCCCGAAAGCCCAAACTGGACAAAATAGGTGTATTTGAATACCAGGTACCTACCTATCAAGGTATCTTATTTGTATATGCACTTGCGGTGTTAATTATGTTTACAAAGCAAACGTCGTGGATAGGTGAAAATCACTGCCGACAGGGGGGAAGCAATAGGGACGCTAAGCAGGAGGAACGTGAGTATTTGCTTCCCGACAAGGAACACGCAACGACACTCGTATTTACCTTTGTCTGGTCCGGCGAAAAAAGGTGGCCGTGTTGACGGCGTTTGGCTCTAAATCACTGGATACTCCCGGCTTCCTCTTCCAGGAAGCTGTAAACAAGGAAGGCCCCATATAGATCGATATATATAACATCACTGTCTCCGAGCCCGCCCGTGATTGACCAATGCTGACGATCAGCCCGAAATTGCAACGGCTGACACAGCCAACTCTCTGCCTAGGGGCTCCTTCGCGTACAGATGGCGAGGACGCATATGAGGTCCAGACCATTTCACCAAAAGCCCGGAGACGGGCCTCGGGTAGGAGTCGATTCACTGCCGCAAAACTGCAGCGCCCGGCCCCCATGGATATCGAAGCCTACGGCTGAGCGCCCCATGGTCACTTGCGTTTCCAAAATCACCATAGATGATCTACTCGAAGGGGAGCTTCCACGCCTGCCTGCGCCGCTGTTGCTTGCCGCTAAGGCTGCATCCTGCGCCCCAGCGACCCGGGCCAGGGCTGGAAAACGCAGCTGCTCTACGGCAGCGAGGATCGAGCTAGGAAGTTAGCTAAATATCCGGAAGCGTGCTTTTCCTCCCGGGGCAGGGCCTGCCGCGCATCTGGCTCGGCACAGCGGGGGTAGCGCGACTGGGCGCTAGACGGCAAGGAAAGATGGCGGCTCTATTTGTACGGGCACCGGGCGGTTCTCGCTGATGTGACCGCTCTATGTCGCCTATAACAAGATGATATTTCTCAAAGAGAGTGTGAGAGCATTTGCAATTCAGCAAACCATTGTTTCCTGGATGTACCTAGACTAGAAGGGAATTTTTTTCGAGGCGGCCAACTAGCGCCTATTGATGTTCTCTTTTCTGGCGGTTCTGGGCGACTATGGCGCCTAGGCGTTTAAGGACCAGCATTACTCGCCGCATGTGGCTCACCGCAGGCCGGACTGGCCCACACCATCTTGTCGATCCCGTCTATCGCTGGGCATATCGTATGTACAGTCTACTGGGAATGGGAACTTCCTGCATTGCTAATGCATATTCCACGTGCCGACACCATAGGGCGTGGAGGAGGGTTCTGGTCCGGAAGAGAATAGGGTCCAGATCCTGGATTCGTCGGATGGCGTCCTGTTTCGGAAGACACGAGTTTTCTCTATGAGGGCAGACGAATCACAAGGAGGTTGCTGATAAAACGACACGAGATAGGTACAAAGACCTGAGCGGTGACCTACCGTCCTATGCTGATCTAAAGGGGGAGGACTTCCCTCTGCGCCATTTCCCCTCGGAAAAGATATTCCCGGTGGGAGTAATGCCCGGGTCACCGGCGCTGGTCTTCGCGGCCCAGGCCAATTTCGTCGAAGGCGGGCTCGTCTTAACGGTGGGGATCCACCACGCGGCTGGCGACGCTGTCGCCCTCCAAACCATCCTCAGCACCTGGGCCGAGAACACGGCGGTGGCGGAAGGCGGCGACTCAGGCGCCTTCACTGTGTACGACACAGAGTCAAACGACCGCAGCATCCTGATGGACGGCGTTCCACCATCCGAAGACACGGCCGTCAGCTTCCCAGAATACGTACTCAGCCCGACGCCCAAGGCCGAGGCTGCCGCTGCCGCCGCCGCCATGGCAAGCTTCTAGATGCCCCCAATGGAGACGCGCATGTTCCGGTTCATGCCAGCAGGACTCGCCCGACTCAAGGCCGAGGCCGCCGCCTTCTCGACGCACGACGCGCTGTCCGCCATGCTATGGCGCGCAATTACGCGCGCGCGGACTGGGGGAGACGCCCCCGCCCCTGTTGACTCGGCCTTTGCGTACGCCATCAACGTCCGGCCGCGCGCCAGCCCCCCGCTGCCGGCCACGTACGTCGGCAACGCATCGATGTTGGGTCTCACGAGGCGGCTGTCGGCGATCGAAACCACCTGCGGCCCGGGAGGCTTGGCGCTTGCCGCGGGCGCGATCCGGGCGTCGCTAACGGCGCGGTTCCCGGACGCCAAGCAAGACGGGACTGCTGCGACTGATGCGGACGGCCCAGACCGGGTGGTGCGGGCCATCGGGCTGCTTGGTTCGCGGCGCGACCCGACTGACTATAAGATGGCTTACCGCGCGTTCCTGGGGCCGGACGTCGTCGCAACGTCGTGGGCCAACATTGCCGTCTACGACACGCTCTAGGGTGGCGTCCTGGGCGCCCGAGGGGTTACGCGCGCCGGGGGATGGGGCTGACGGCGCCTTGGCCATCCTGCGGCGGCGGCGGGCCGAGGACGGCGGCAGGCTTGATGTCCAGGTAGGCATGGAAAGCGGGGCCATGGCAAGGCTGCTCGCCGACGTCGAGTTTGCGCGGGTGGTGGATGCGTGATGGCTGGCGTGCAGGTGGGTTGGGTCGGTGGGATTCGAGTTGTTGGATCAGCACCAATTGGAAGCGATGGCTTGCCGTCGGCCTCTGCAGGTCGCAAAAGGTGGCCAGATCAGGGACGGCGGCCGAATGTTCGAGTGAATTCCCGCTTTCGTCGGCCTGCGTACGTGCGCTGCAGCCAATCTAATCTGACGTGCGCGCAGGGCCGCTTCTGGACTAGCGCGCCCGACTGTGAAACACGGATCGTGTTAATGCCAACCACAGAGTAAAGCCAAGGCATTCTCGCGATTCCCGCGGGGCATTGAAATCCTGCTGCGGGATCCGTCCCGTCCTCCTTCGGCCGCCCTGAGACGCCATCCTTGGCCGGCCAGCCTTGGTTGGTTACAGTGGGTGAGTTGTTCGAAAGCGGCACTTTTATCTGCGTCTGCCAGCCAAAATCCGACTCGGCCCGTCTCGGGACGAGCTTGGGTTCTGTTCTTTGTGCACGGCCCTGAGGTTGCAGTTCGTCGTCCTGGGGTGGTGGTGCCGTGGTGTCGCCATGCGTTAAAATCCCTCTGGCGCAGGGGTTCCCAGGTGGACAATGCCCCGTAGACAATGCTCTCGTTTGGATCCGGATGGAACGCCGCCCCGTCCATGCCCGCTGCCAGCGTCTGGTTCTCGAAATTTGTGGTGGGCGAGGGGATACGACGTCGGCGCCAGCACCCAGCACCCATGGCGAGCACCCATGGCGAGCATGTTTATTCGGGCACGATTGGGGCCGCAAAGTCTATCTGACCCCAGCCGGCACCCGCTCTGGAATGAAGGCCCCGCCCCACCGTCCGAAGGTTGAACAAAGTTGCAATGCTGGGTGCGTGCATGTCGACACGTTTCTATTCGCGGTGCCTTGTGTGTTCCCTGTCATTTGCGCGCGGCGGGGCCGTGAATTGATGCAATATAATGCGTGTTGGCTGTCTGGGGGTCGACGTGTCTGCGTCTGGCTGGGAAGGGTTCGTGCTTCTCGGCCGGCACTCGTTCTGCTGGGGACTCGACCTTCTATCGCGGTGGTACCACCTCAGGCTCCTAGAGGCAGTGCAGACCCCGCCGTGTGCACACCGTCTTCACCCACCGCTTTATGCCTTTGGTTGGGCGCACCGTGCGAACCACTTTGACTGCACCACCACGAGCCCAAAACCCCACAATGCCAGGGCCAAGACTGAGGCCGCTTTTTTTACCGGCCAGCGTGAAGACAGCCCCAACGTGGGCATTTCCCGTCCGCCCGCCTCCCGCCTGCTGGCGCCGTTCCTGCTGTGCTCCATCAATGCTTCTTGAGTCGAGCGGCGACATTGTTTGTGTGTGCTGCAGGAACCGACGAGCCTTGGTGCCTTGCCACGTCTCTCCCTCCGCAGAGCTCCCCGTCTCCCGCACATTTTTTTGGACCCCGATTTCGCCGTCTAGACCTGTGCCAAGCGTGGCTGCCTCTTGCTTCCGCCCAAGTGAAGGGACCTCCTGCGCGAGGCGCCTGCACCCAAGCCGCTGCAATTTGATCACTGCCCGCACACCCCCCCAGCCGACCTTCCCCCCAATCAACAGCCGACTGAGTGCACCACGCCGCCAGGCCTTTGACCCTCTTTTTGTCTTTGCCGCGCCCAGTCGGGCCAACCAGATGCCCCATTGCGACCCATACTCTCCATGACCGTTTCAAATCCGCATCTTGACACCTCTGGAAACATTGAATCGACAACCAGACAGCCCGCCCGCCCCGCGAGGTCCCCTGACTGCCGCCAGCAAATTCGTGCAGAGGACAAGCACCAAGGCACTTTGGACAAGGCTTCTTGGACGCGGCCACGCTGCGAGCGCCCCTTTTGCACCATCACCACCTTTAGCCCAGTATTCCCGCGCGGGATTCGCCGCCCAGTAACCCACATTCAACCACTAACTACGTCGCAAACGGGACGACGGCAATAGAAAAAGAGCAAAAGCTGGGAATTGAAACGCTCCATCGCCAAGCACACAGGATTTCGGGGGGTTGAGCAAAAAAGAGGAGGGAAAAGCAGAAGCAAAAAGCGAACAACAAAGCACCAACCCGACCGAACCCGCTGCCTCAAACCTGGGACACCCTCCTAGTCACTCTCGCGAGCAGAATCGACAGGAAAAATTGGCGTCCAGTCGCATGACGTGAATCAGAAGCCACAACTCCCCCAAATAGCCGCGAAAGGGCGAACAGCCGACCTGCATCCAGGCCTGCCTCCCCTCTTGACCCCGTCGCCGACCTCGGTTTTCCCCAAGAGAAGGGACGGCCAAACCTAATCTGGGATCGCACCGCGCGCTGTCGCTGCCCGTCGCCTCGTTTCCCCATTCCAGTCCAAGCTCAGCCCGCCCAGCCATTCCCGACTCTCCAGCGCCCGGCCAATTTCTCCGTCGCCGTAGAACCCACCATTCACCGACCGCCACTCCCCAAGCCAACCCTGGTCTACCCGCCGCAAAAAAAGAAAAAGAAAGAAAAAACACTACCATCACGACCGGCCGACCCGCCCTGACCGCCGCATACCCGCCCGTCCATCCCGGAAGCAGCCCCCCTGGTCGACTGCCCTCGACGGACCTCTAGGCATCGGTGGCCCCTCCGCCCGGTGAGGTGGTGATGGCACATGCGCCCCTCCTGAGATCAAGCACGACGCCCATTTTCCCAGCGTCCAACAACGGGGTTTCCAGACTGCAGGGCGCGATGGCCGCGCCGCCGAGGATGAGCCATCTCTCTGGCTCGACCGCCTTTAACTCCACCACCTCCCTCTCCAGTCTCGTCAGCACCGCCTCGACCGTCGTGCCCCCGTCCAATGGCCAGGTCGTGGCCACAAACAACATCATCAACCAGAGGGCCGACGCCTCTAGGTCGCTGTACCAGATATGCGTCTCGCTCAAGCAGCGCCTGGCCCAGGTGCCCGGCTTCGAGCAGTACCTGGCCAAGATGGACGCGCTAGAGGCCCAGAACCCCGACGGCGGCATCGTCGACTCGGTATGGAGCTTGCTGAGGCTGGGTTCGCCCCTGCTCTTCATCTATAACCTCCTACAGCCCGAGAACCCCATCGTCATCGACGACGCCGGCGCCAGCGACAAGAAGAAGTCCCAGATGTACATCTACAAATTTGTCGAGGCGGTCAAAAAGGACCTCAACCAGTCCGATATCTTTACCATCAGCGATTTGATAAAAGATGACACGACCGGGTTTGTCAAGGTTCGTGTTCTCGTTGCTTTACTTTGCGTGCCATTTCATTCGACCTTGTCGGCCTTCCCGTTCCGGGCGCCCCAACAGCTGTCTTTGCCCCGCCACCGGTTCTGTGCGCGCCAAACACTGTTTTGCTAACCCTGTCGTCTTGCCTACCCCCAGGTAACCTCTGTGGTAAACTACGTACTCGACATCTGCCAAGAACGTGGTTTATTAAACCAGATCCAACCCTACCCCGAGGATGACGTTCTACCAGATGGCAAGGAAAAGATGAGCTACCGGGATTACATCGTGAAGGAGCTTGTCGACACCGAACGGAAATATGTGCAGGACTTGGAGAACTTGCACGACCTGAAAAAGGCCTTGGAGGAGAGGGGCATCATCCCAGGAGACACGGTTCACCAGATATTCCTCAACATCAACCTTATCCTCAACTTCCAGCGTCGGTTCCTTATCCGCGTCGAAACGACCAACTCGATGCCTTCCACTGTCCAGCGCTGGGGCCAGCCCTTTGTCGTCATGGAGGACAACTTCGACATCTACCAGCCATTCATCGCCAACCAGCGGAAAGCCGCCATGGTGGCACAGGCGCACTTTGACAAGATCAAGACTATCGAACACCCCGTGGCCTGCGACTTCAACACTCTCGACGGCTTTCTGCTGAAGCCGATGCAGAGGCTGGTCAAGTATCCGCTACTGCTTAAGGTACGCCAGCGCCAAGAAGCCCGTCTCCCTCCGGCTGGTCTTCCAGCACCTAACTTTCGTTTCTGCAGGACTTGCTCAAAAAGAGCGACGATGAGGAGATCAAGGCAGACCTCTCCGCAGGCATTCAATCTGCCGAAAAAGCCTTGTCCAAGGCCAACGAAGCTGTCGATCGAGATCTGCTCGATGAGGCCCTCGAGGACCTCAAGTCAAGAGTGGATGACTGGAAGAGTCATCAAGTCACCCAGTTCGGCTCTCTGCTCTTGCATGGCGTGCACACGGTTCTAACCGGCAAGACGGAGGCGGAGAGAGATGTAAGCACTGTGCGAACTGTTTTTGATTAATGTTCTTATCAGGTGACATCACCTCCCTTTTGCTTCATGGCAGACACTAATGCTGTTTCGCAGTACGAAATTTACCTGTTCGACTGCATTTTGCTTTGCTGCAAGGAGATCTCGCCCAACAAAATCAAGGACAAGAAGGACAAGACCAAGTCCACAGGGCCCAGGATCCGGAACAAGAACGCAAAACTGCAGCTTAAAGGGCGCATTTTCATGACCAACGTCACCGAGATCCTGTCCTTTTCGAAACCAGGTATGTTTGCCGGAAGGAGCAAAGACGCTCCCCAGCTTCGCGTAATTCGATCCGACATGCTGACAGTCGCTTTAGGCTCTTACACGGTCCAAATATGGTGGAAGGGAGACCCCGGTGTGGAAAACTTTGTTATCAAGTTCCAGAATGAGGAGACGATGAAGAAGTGGGCGTCGGGTCTGGATGCCCAGAGGAAAAAGCAGGCAGGGCCTGCCGCGGCGACCAGCCCCGACCAAGCGACCCCCGATTTCACATGGATGCAAGGTCAAACCAACCTGCAGAACCCTTACGTTCAGGACGACGACGACGAGAACGACGACGATATCGTCCCGCCGCCACTACAAGCCCAGTATGGCACCATGACCGGCACCATGCCGCGCAACGCTTCCACGTCCAGCCTACGGGGCAGATCACAAACAAACGAGAGCGGCCTGGGCAGAGTGCCTCCCCCACGCTTCCCGATGCCCGCGCCACCAGCGCCCCTTAGCTTGCAGACGGCGAATGGTCAGCAGTCACCCAGCTACCGTGGCGGTGATTCGTACTTCTCGCCGGTTTTGGACACCCCGGTGTCCTCGCGGACCAGCACCACGTCGAGCATTTACACTGGCAGCGCTAGCTACGCCTTCCCCAAGGCTGGTCAGCCATATGCGGGGCCGTGGGAGGGAGAGATGAACCGATATACAGCTCCTGCCATGCCTCGCGCGCCATCCAGGGATGGATCGTCTCCGGTGAATCCCTACGGCATGGTCAACGGGCGCAACCCCCGCGGGCCCTCGATGCCGGTCATGGCGTCGCACAGCGCACAAGCCGCCGCATCTCTGTCGCGCAGCCGCTCCTACAGCACGCCTGACATTCAGGGCCCCCCGGGCGTCCGCAGGACGCCTGGTGGCAGTCAGAACAACGTGCCCGCCGTGCCCGGTATTCCGGCACACCTCGCTCACGAACGGCACGACTCTAATATCCCGCGCTCACACTCTGGCAGCCCCGTGAACAATCTACCGCTCAGGGCGAACACCCAGAGCCCCGGGGTCCAAAGGGAGCGCATGCTGCAACAAGGCGGCAGCTATGGTGGGACCATGGCGCAGTTCCCATCGCAGCCCATCTATCAGCGCCAGGGCACGCCCGGACCTACCAGTACCCCTAGTAGCAACCTTGCGCCGGCGCCTTTGAACTTGGATCGCGAGAGGGCCGTGTCGCCCCCGCTAGCCACAGGAGCACCCATACCACCAAGCGGCGGGTTTGGGGGTCCCGAGATGACGCTGCCGACCCAGCTCAAGGTCAAGGTCAACTATGACAATGCCAACTACGTGACCCTCGTCGCGGCGTACAACATCACGTACCAGAGCCTTGTGGACCGAATCGACGCGAAGCTCGCCCGCTTCACCAACAGTGGAGTCAGCCGGGGAAACCTAAGACTCCGGTACCGGGACGACGAGGGCGACTTCGTCAGCATCGTATGCGACGAGGACGTGCAGATGGCCTTTACCGATGGGCGCAACGGCGACAGGGACATGTATAATGGCGGCGTCGGCGAGGTCGAGCTGTTTTGCGCAACCGTCGGTGGCGGCGACAACTAGGCAGCCTAACCTTGTCTGGTACTGCAGTCGCACAGTGCTATTGGTGACCTCCATCAAGTCGCCATCTCGCTGGGCCCACAGCTTCCCCCTCCTAACACCTATCTAACCAAAGGCAGATCGCCATCCATCGCCCGTCCATGCCCGGCATTCTAAAGCGTTCTTGTGCTTTTCATCCGCCCCCCAGTACAAATGAGATCCAACATACTCATTGCATACATCATCGGCGTCTGGCTTGTCGTTTCCCACTTTCTACAACTCCAAATACCACACCTCCTTGCTCCATTTTCCCCCTTTTGATCCATACCCCAGCTCTCCTCGAGGCGGCGTCTTTTCCTCTCCTCGCAACATCGGGCCCTTTAGACGGTTTCAGCCTCGTCAATTTCTCCTTTCCTTGCATTCAAGGGGTTTTGCCAACCCCGCATACTGATACCAAAAACTGGATTCTCGCGTGGTTTCCTCCGAGCATTTCGTTTTCTCGTTGTGCTCTTGCTCCTTTTCTTCCTGGTTCCTTCGTTTCCTATCCCCTTGAGCAATATAGATCACACCTGGAGGCGAGACGCGTTGTTTGCCGCCTCTCCTCCGTTGGGATGCATTTGTGTCCCATTTTTACATATCCTTGGCTAACCCACTCTATAACTAACCCTGCCTGGGTGTTTTTTTTTACCCTCGTCGGACGACAGGCCCATTTGTACTCGGAGGTGATTTTATGTCCTCTCACCCTCTCTCTTCCTTTGCTTGCTTTCATCTTCTTTCGTCTGTCGTAAGTTTCATGTTTTGGAGATACCTGACCTTGAACACTCGTTGCCCTTTGTGGGCGAGCTTGAATTTGAAACCAAGTTAGTTTCTATTGACGTGCCGTCACAACTATGTATTTATGCGTTCGGTCCGCTCCTAGTAATATCTGCCCCCTCGTATTATGTCCAGCAACGCCAGCCACATGTGGTGCCCTAGAGAAGTAGGCTGTAGATTGCTGGTTCGTGGCACCATCGGGATGCCGCCGCCTCCCCCCTGCTAATTTATTTCGTGAAGAATATACCGATGCACGGTCCTAGCAGGTGCAGTAGGCGGATGGGCCCACCTCGACGCAGCAGGCGCTGGCGCAAGTCGTGCTCATCTCCCACTGGTTCAGCGAGCTGCAGACGCAGACTGTTTGCTGCTCGAAGCACGCAAACGTGCCGGGGCGGTCGCACGGCTGGCCTGCCCACTGCCGGGATCCGAGTGGCCTGCTGCGGCTGGAGTCGTCGGTCTGGTGGTGGTTGACGGGGGGCGTGGCGAGCGCGGCTGCGTAGGGGATCGCGGCGGCGACGGCTAGGGGGACATTTGAGTAGGTAGACTGGTAACTGGGTCTGGGGGTTTCTCTATCGTTGGGTTTGGTGGGACCCGGGTTTGTATAGAGCGATCCGAGATAGGCAGGTAGTGAGCTTTGATGCTATGCGGGAGGCGCATACGCAAATGGCCTTGACAGTCCAGTCTAGACCTTCGATTTATTATTCCTCGCCTTTGGTAGATGACCTGAAGTCGATCTCCTGTCCTATTTCTACTTCTCTCCTGCCAGTCCCGGCTCTTGGAGGGGACCGAGCCGGCCCGAGGACATGGGATGGTTCAGCTCAACCTTGGCGCCATGTCGTTGCAACCTGTTCCTACCGGGAGGAGAGGGAGCAAGAAAACGGAGAGGGAAAAAAAAAAACGAAGACAAATGTTTACAGTCCCAAGCGTCGATGGCTACTACATGTTCTTCCAACTTTACATCTGTCACGTCTCTTTTGGTCATCCCATCACCTTTATGCATTGTCGTCGAGTCGTCCGCCGTGTGACCTTCCCGATGCAGGTTGCATATCTGCCTTCTTTGCAACGTGCAGCTTCGGCGTAGAGATTGATCACCGACTCGGCCCGGGGACTCGGCACTCACCAAAGGCCAGAATGACACGCCGGATGAGTCCAATCTCTACCTATCCACGGAACCAGCTTGCGATTTGTTTTCGAAGTGCGCTGGATGATGCGTCCCTGGGCCTAGAGCGTGTATTGGTTGTTTTGATTTTGTGATAGAGGCATGCCTACTGCTCAGTCACCTGTTGTGCTTTCGGAAGTAGATATCGCTGCAGTTTTATGTATATGTACATGTTTATCATTGATACGACTGTTCGACGAGGTTCTGGCGTGTGAGCTGGATGCCTTGACCACCGGTGATGACACAACCTTAGCGAGGGCTGATCCGCCTTTATCTTCCAGCGCTCGAGAATCGCATCGTATTTCCAGAGGCGCCACTTGTTTCAAGGTATGTTCCTTGGTTCATGGCGACATAAACAGAGATCCCAATCAAGTTCTCAGGCACAGGTTTGGCATCAATCGCCAGATAGAGTAGCAACATTGCTTAGCTCTCAACCCATCACAAGCCTTTGGGATATCGCCTATTTCTTTTTCCTCGCTCCCATCTTCTGTTGCATTCTTGACAGGTGGTGGTTGATGGGGTTGAGTTTCTTGACCGTCTGCTGGGGGCCGTCGGCGCATTCCCGGAGCTGCTGCTCGAGCGCCAGACAGCCCGCGGCCGTGTATCCTGCCGAGGCCCAGCACGCTGCGGCAGGGGGGATGTAGGCTCTCAGCGTCCTGTCCGCATGCGACGGGCGAGGGGTTCAAGGGGTTGAGGGCGGGGCAGGGGAGGGAGAGGGGGATGCCAGGTGGGCTGCCGGGGGAGGATACATACCCAGGACAGACTGCATGACGCTGAGGCAAGGGTTGACCTCCTTCTGGATCGGGTTGCGGACGCGCAGGTTGCGCAATGGCGGGAGCTTGATGGGCTTCTTGACCGTCGACATGGTGGGAGGCGATGGCGAGGAGGCGGTTGGATACGAGGCAAGGCTGGCTTGGGGGTAGTCACACACGTCTATGGGCCCTCTTCTTCGGAGCTGGCTGGTCACATGTCCTGGCGTTGGCTCTGCTTCTCCCTCTTCGCCAACGATGAGGCAACCGCTAGCTGGACGCTGGTGGGCTAAAATTTCGATGGAGCTCAGCGAGATCACGTGTTGGCGATGCATCTTCGCATGCCCATGCCCATGCGGCTCCACCTGCACGCCACTCGCCCCGTGCACGCGGCAGCTGAGAGCTCGGCGGGGCTGTTACGTGGGCTGGGTCGTGGTTGCCCGAATTCGTCGGAGCTGAGCTTAATCTCAACGGTGGGGTCGTCTTTAATTGGCCAACCAACCTTCAATGTAAACAAAAGATTTGGGCGGCGGCGGGCGGCAGATTGTCGCTACACGCTCCCAGGCCAAGCTTCGCTGCAGGGTTCACCTTCTCGACGCGCCGCCCTCGGCCTCCCGTCGATTCCACCCACTACAACACATCACGACACGAACAACCACCACGCACTATTCGCAAACTTCGCAGTTTCCTACCACCATCACTTCTGCACTTTGCATCTCTGCTGGTCTTGCTCACTTCTAGTCGCCGTCTTGTTCTTATCCCAAAGCCTGTTACACATCCTCGCCGTCTTCGACGCCTGGTCTCTTCCCTCTCGCATCTCTTCGCGTCTGTGGCCCTAGCCTCGCCTCAGCAAATGCAGCAGCATGGCTTCCAATCCGACGATGGAGGCCTTCGAGCACGCGCTCACGCATACCTTGTATAAAGAATCACAGCAGCGTCAATCATCGCCGGCGCCAGAGGATGATATCTCGCCAGCCCAGCGTTCCAAGTCTCGGAATAGCGACCTCCTCACATTCTCGTCACCTCGTCAGCAGAGCCCCGCGCCTGCTCAGCAACAACAACAGCCAGCCATGCAGCCTTTCATCTTTGCCGGCGCGCTCCCGACTGTTCAGCCCCCGAAGCATGATTTCTTTTCTGGGCAGAATGTCTTAGAGTACGCACTGATCCCTTCCCATGCATTCCCTTGACTATGCTGCTCGCCGCGCCAGGCTCGTGCTAACAGTTGAGGTGTTTCATCAGTCTCCTCTCCTCCTCGGCGGCTTTCGTCCTGCAGCCGTGTCTCGATCTCCCTCGGCCTTGGGATTATATCCTCGTCGGTACTTATAGTGGCAATGCGTTGTATAAGCGCGCCGGAATCGCCACCTCTCGAGTCCCTGCCAAGCGCATCACTGATGACGCCACGGTTGAGCGCGAGCTGTTTGCCGCACAGATGGCCCCGCGCAAGAGGATGCGCACATCCTGGGCCCAGCCGCAGCTAGGCGTCAACCAGTCCCTTTTCGACACGCGAGCACTGCGCCACTTCCGCCCAAAGGCGGTCGCTGACGACGTAAAGATTGCCGTTGATGCGATCTCGTCACACTACGCCTGGCTCGCAAAGGGCAATCTCGAATACCCACTCGATATCAAGAACCACACATGGACTGGCTCGCTCGAGTACGAAGTCATGACCATTCTCCCGCGCAAGAGGCTCTCGAACCGCGAGTTCAAGATTCGGCTCGAGGAGCGCATCTATGGCGAAATCTTCGGAGGCGCCCCCGATGCTCAGGTTGCCCCGTCCAGGAAGATTGCTCGCAGTCGCCACCGTCGGACAGTTGCCCAATGTCCCGATCTTTCCACCATCTCTGAGTGCACCGAGCCAGCCTCCTCTCCTGTTCGTCCTCGCACCAAGCTCGCGCCGCTCAATTCTTCGCCGGCAAAGCTGCTTCTTGCGCCTCAGTTTAAGTCGACTCCGAGAAGGTCCCTCTCGCCGCGCAAGGCGCTTTCGCCATTCGAGTTCTCGTTCTCGTCACCCTCCCCCGCAAATGGCACTGCGACGCCAACGCCCACAAGGAGCTTCTCTCTTGTCAAGTCTGCCGCCATGTGGCGCACGCCCGATATCTTCGCCTCTACCCCCAAAACAGTTGCCCTCTCATGCTCGCCACCGCGGAGAGCACCGCTCTCACCATCAATCGCGTTTGACAAGTCTGCTGTTGAATATTCGGCTGCCAACTCCAGGCGATCCTCCACGGGGTCTTCTCGCCGCGCAGCGCGCCGATCTCTGACTACTAGTCGCCTGCTAGCCATTTCGGATCTTGCCCAGTCTCCAGCAGCGCCCAGGGTTTCCTTCGGCACACTAGACCAGAACGCGACCCTTTGCCAGAGCTCCGATAGCGATGTCACCATGATGACCGCCCCTCTCCTGCAAGAAGAATCTGTTCATGCGACTCTCTCTATTGCCGAAGACTCTATTCCACCCGCCAGCGATCCAATTGAGCCTAACCTCGCCACCCCTAACCGCGGCTTTGTCTCGTCCACAGATGCCGAGGCTAGCACCGCTGCGCCCGCAATCGCCGAGGCCGACTTTGTCGAGCCCGCGAATGCCGAGGCCAGCTTTGCCACGCCCACATTTGACAATGACGATAATACAAAGACCATCAAGATCAGCGAGCAGCCATCGATCCATGTTGATCTGCGCACAAACCTAGACATCTTCGGCTCCCACCGAGACGCTCCCGCCAGCATGGCGCAAATGGATGACGTCGACGCGGTAGAAGATAGCTCCCCTTCTCCTGAGAAGGAGCCCAGTAAGGACGAGGATGAGGCCGATGACGAGTTCACCAGCGTTATCAATCACAACAATATCAATGACACCATATCGCTCAACCTTGGCGCCGCACAGGCCAGTCCGGGAATGCCCGAGAATGTTGTCGCTGGCAAGGGAGAAGATGCCGACGAAGACCGCGAGGAGCTCCAGCAGTTTCTCAACCGACACTGGGCCCAGGGCAAGACTTCTGTCAAGCCCAAGCGCCGGTCTGGATCGCTGGGACTGGCCACCTCCATCACTGGATCACCGATGCCGCGGAATGAGATGACATCGGACAACGAGACCATGGCCAAACGCATGCCATTGGGAGCCAAGGATCCTAACATGAGCCCGAGCCCCATCAAGAAGCGTAAGGCTGCCGACTCGGACGATGAGCTGAGCGGAGGAAAAAGTCTCCTGGAGGCGCCGGCCCTTGACGACCATTCCCCGCCGCGGCCCAAGAGACGTCGCCGGAACGTCGAGGCAGATTCGGACGGTGTTCTGAACCCTGTCTTCCAGCAGCAGACTAGACAGGGAGAGCCTCGTGAACTGCGGCGTAGCACCCGAGCCACCGCTCGTCGTACCCTTGTCACTGCGGGACCGTCAGCCAATAGCACGGCCATGTCCAAAGTGCCCGTCAGACTCCCTGGCTCTCTTGTGGGTGATGGTGCCGACAGCAGCTTCGGCAGCAGCTTGAGTGCCGCTCGCAGTGAAGAGCGAAGACTGGCTGCGACGACGCGTGGTAATACGAGGAGGAACCGGGGCGGATCGCTCCCTGCAGGAGAGGTGCTCGCCCTTAAGGCCAAGCAGAAGACGCCGCCGACCGGCGATGAGAGCGGGGACGAGGCACCCCGGGCAAAGAAGCGAACCACCAAGATGGGCATGACTAAGAGCGTCCGCTGGGATTCGGTTCTGGCTAGATACCAGGACGAGGCACTAGCCTCTTCAGACGCCCCGGGTGCCACGGGCCCCCAAGGCTCCGTCAGCCGAGTCGACGACGACGACGACGACGAGCTGGCCGATGCGCCAGACGTTGGCACGAGGAAGGCCACTCCCGTTGCCCGCCGCACCACCAGCCGCATCTCGCGGCTGCAGCCACCCACCCCGGTCAAGAAGACCACCAGCGCGCCCTCTGGGCCTCCTGCGCCCGGAGTCGCGGCTGGCCGGGTGAAGAAGCTGGCTGCGCCCGCCGCCCCAGTGGTGGCCCGAAGGACCTCGGCTCAATTGGCCGCGGCCTCGGCCGCCAAGAAGATAGCGGCAGCGGCAGCGGTGGCGGCAGCAGCGACGCCCGTCGCAGCCCCTGCGGCTCGGCGGACGCGGATCGCCACCCCGGCGGCCAAGAAGCGGGCCACCAAGGCCTAGAGACCTCGGCGCTTTGGCGCACAACACCTTGTTTTTTTTTTTCTTCTTTTTTTCTTTTACGATTTGTAATTTTTTTTTCTGGCTTCGCCTCCCGTCTTCGGGCCTGGCGGCCCCTGGAGCTTGCCTTGTTTTTTTCTTGTTTGATTTTCCATGTTGAGATACCATGATGTTGTTGAGATACCCGGAACCATTGGGCGGAGTTTTGTAGAATTCATTACGATCATGACCATAACCATGCTGTGTGCTTTGTTTCCTGCGTGATGCCATCGCTGCCATATCTGTGCCTGGATGATTCGATGGAATCCAGTCTGTCTGGCCTCGACGATTGGAATATTCCGAGTTTTAACTCGATGCACTTCAGACAGGTCGTCCTCGTCGGCATCGTGTTTGGTGTGCTAGGTCCCATTTCCCTCGGCCTTTGATGTGCAAGAAGTGCACTCGGACGCTGGATAATGCTGGACACCAAGGACCCGCTGTCAGACATGATCATCAACATCAAGAACGCGGGTCTGCTGTCGCTACGGATTTGGCGCCAGGTGCTCGGCTTGTCCGAGTGCAAGGTCGCTACCAACCTGTCCGGAAGCCTCTTCCACCCTTCGTGCCGCAGCCACGACGCCATCAAGGCTACACTCAAGCATCACTCCGAGAACGAACTCGCGATGCAGTCGCAGTTCGCCGGGCATGTCAAGAAGGTTTTGGAGGAGCTCGGAGGATCGCAAGCAGCGGCCTTGGTCCACTTATACCGTGCGACCCCCGAGCAGCATGCCAGTGTTCAAAGGA